AAAAAAAAGGAAGGGAGGGAGGGAGGGAAAGAGAAAGAAAAGAAAAGAGAAAAGAAAAGAAAGAAAGAAAAGAAAAGGAAGAAAGAAGAAGAAGAAAAGAGAAGAGGAGGAAGGGGAGAAGAGGAAGAATAAGAGGAAGAGGAAGAAGTGGAGGAGGAGGAGGAAGAAGAGGAAAAACAAGAGGAAGAGGAAGGGGAGAAGGGGGTAAGGAGGGGGAGGAGGAGGAGAAAAAGCTTTCTGACATGCTGTTTTATATGACTGAATGCAACCTGGGTTTTCATTAAAAAGGTTCCAAACATACATTTTATGGAATCTAAGAAATTACATTTCTAGCCCATTGAGCCCTTACAAGAATATACAAATATCCAACCCTAAGACCTAAAATCAAGCAATGTGTGAAAAAGCTTTGTGATGTGCTGTTTTATATCACTTAATGAAACCTGTGCTTTATTAAACAGGTTCCAAACACACATTTAGTTGAATATAAGAAATGACATTTCAGAGATGATTAGGCCTATGTAAGAAAAAAAAGGGAAAAAGAAAAATAAATTCTAGAAACAGACAAAAAAATTTAAGCACAGAAATTTAAAACTCAGTGGAGTCAGGAAGAAACCCCTGAAATTACGGTAACTGAACAATTACTTGATGATGATCCAGAACCTTATCAGCCTTCATATGGATCTGCTGCCCATTTTCTACTTATCTAGTGAGTCTGAGATCTCAGATCCCAAATTTAAATTAAAATTGTCCTGGACTAGCAATGATCCCAAGCCAACGAAAAAAATAACAGATGAAAACCCTTCTAGAAAGATATAATCCTGCTAAGCATCAATATAGTCCACAAATAACTTTCCAAACACAATCTCCAGCATACAACGGTAACAAAGCACACCAGGAAATGAAACTCCATGAATAAAAACCATATACATAAGGACAAAAAAGTATCAAGATTGAAAAAGAAGAACAAAAATTTTCTCTTTGCAGATTATGTGATTTAGTATACTTAGAAAATCCAGAAGAATTCACAATAAATTATTAAAACTACTGGCCTAATTGAGTAAGGTTTCTGGATTCAAATATAGAAAAACTAATTGTATTTCTATATTCCAGCAACAAAATTCAGTAATGGAATTTTTTTAAGCTACCATTTATAATACAATCAAAACTATCAAGGAGGTAGCAATAAGTTTCTAACAAAATATATGCAAGGCCTTTACCAACAAAAATATAAAATCTTACTGAGAGAAACTGGAGACAAATTAATTAACATACATATCCCTAAACATCAACCAGAAAACTTAACATTGTAAATGTTTCAAATCTCTTCAGATTGACCTATAGATTCAATACAATCTCAAACAAAATCACAATAGCTTTTGTATATGCCTCTGAGTGTGGAAATTTATAAGCTGGTTCTAAAATGTATAAGAACGTGCAAAGGGCCAAGAAGAGCCAGGACAGAAATAACAACAACAACAAAAAAAGAGACAATGTAATAGAAAAATGAGCAAAAGACATTAACAGGCACTTTACAAATGAGAAACTTCAAAGAGTCAAAAAATATATTAAAAGATGCTCAACCTCCTTAGTCATCAGGATTTGAAACCATGATGGAAACCTAAATGACATACCGTTACATGACAATTAGAATGGTTAAAATATAAAAATGGCCAGATATGGGAGTTGGCTTCTGTAATCCCAGCCACTTGGGAGGCTGAGGCAGTTCAATTGCTTGAGGCCAAGAGTTTGAGACTAGTCTGGGCAACTAAGTGAAACCTCCATCTCTCACAGGGTCTTGCTTGTTCACCCAGGCTGGAGCGCAATGGTATGATCACGACTCACTGTAGCCTCAACCTCCTGAGTAATAGGGACTACAGACACGAACCACCATGCCCAGCTACTCATTTTTAAATTTTTTTAATATTATTTTATTTCTTCTTATAGAGATGGGATCTCCCTATGTTGGCTGGTCTCAAACTCCTGGGCTCAAGGGATTCTCCCAATTTGGCCCCTCAAAGTATCAGAATTACAGGTGTGAGCCATCATGACTGGCCATTTTTTTAATTTTGTATAGAGACGGGGACTTATTATGTTACTTAGTCTGGTTTGAACTCCCTGGAATCAAGTGATTCTCCCACCTTGGCCTCCCAGTGTGCTAAGATTACAGGCATAAACCATGATATGCCCAACCTAAAAAAAAAAATTCTTTTAATTAGCTGGGTGTGATGGTGTGAGCCTATAGTCTCAGCTGAGGCAGGACAATAGACACACACCATCACATCCAGCTAATTTCAAAAAAAGGCTGAGGTGAGAAGATCTCTTGAGCCCAGGAGTTTAAGGTTACAGTGAACTATGATCATAACACTACTCTCTAGCGTCGGTGATAGAGGAAGGGTCAGCATCATCCTGAAACCAAAACCTGGCAGAGATACAACCAAACAAAAGAAAACATCAGGCCAATATCCTTGATGAACATCCATGCAAAAATCCCCAACAAAATACTTGCAAAACAAATCCAGCAGCACATCAAAAAGTTTATCCACTATGATCAAGTTCGTTTCATCCCCAGAATGCAAGGCTAGTTCAACACA